GAATGAGCTCTACGAAAACCTGACTGGAAGCAATCATAGATGTTATGTTCATCAAGAGCAGCTGTTGTTGTGTGTTGGGGTGAGTACTCCTCCTTCTCTACAACATCTTTGTGAGATCTTCATTCCAGGAGAGGGCACTCACCAGCTGCGGGGCATTACCAATCAGCGGCAGCTGCAGCTCCTCAGATCAACCGCAGCAGAGCTCTATTTAAGAGGAGAGGGAACTACTTCACTTCGCTGGATGATTAGCTACTCACGGTAGTATCTTGCCTCTCTCAAAGTCTTAGGTTATGCTTGGTCTCTGCTCAGACATTTTTGCTGTCGCAGTATTTGGATGTATTTGGATTTTTTCTTGGATTCGTGTGTTTGGACCATTTTGGACTCAAGTTTCTATTCCTCTTCAGGATACTTGGAAATGCTGAACCATTGATGGAATATACCTGCCTGGAACTCACCATAACCCGCCTGGACAACAACTCCCATGGTTCGCCTCTCCTCCTGTTCCTCCTATCCTCTGCCGCCATCCTCTGGCTCCCTCTCCTGGACGCACCCCGTCACACCATCTGCCCTCCCTACTGACTTCTGGACTCTTTCTGGCTTCATCGAACTTTGATATCTCCAGGACACTTTTAGTTAGGTTTAATAAATCATTGTTTGAACTTTCTGCCATTGTTTTGTGATGATTCTTCATGTCGTGGGTTAAACACCTTCCCAGGGACATGACAGCTGTGAGTTGTTTAGCCACAACCTTTTCCAAGATCTTGGAGAGGAATGGAAGTTTAGAGATGGGTCTGAAGCTGCTATGGAGAGAAGCGTCAAGACTCGGTTTTTAAAGAAGCGGGTGGATTACAGCGTTCTTAAAGTAAGCAGGGACCTGACCAGAGACCAGAGAAGCATTAATTATAGAGAGCACGCTGGGACCGATGGACAGAAAAGCACTTTTAAACAAAGATGAGGGTAAGATGTCGAGGGGGCATGCAGAGGTCTTCATAGAGTTAACTAGTTTGGTTAACTCAGGCAAAGAAACAGGAGCAAAGCTATCTAGGATGATGGGCCTGGTTGGAGTCTGGAGAGGCGGCGATAAGGCTGAAGAAGAGATGCTAGATCTAACCTTACTGACTTTGTCCACAAAGAAAGACAGAAAGTTCTCACCGTCTGTAACAGAGTGGATGGAGGCTGTAGGAGAGGCAGGAGAGACGATGCTGCTGATGGTGTTAAACAGCACCTTGGGGTTCCCTTTGCTCTGGGACACCAGGTTGGAGAAATAAGAAATGCTGGCGTCTCTGACTACAGAGTTAAAGGATGTCAGAAGATTCTTTAGGTGCATCAGATGGACGTGGAGATGGGTTTTCTTCCACAAGCGCTAATTTTTCTGCATTGGCGCTTCAGGCTGCGAAGGCTGTCATTAAACCAGGGAGTAGGGTTCACTGCAGGAACTGATCTGGTTCTCAAAGGACAGATGTTGTCCAGAATGGAGAGGCAGTGCTTGTTAAACTGAGAAGTTAAGGAATCTGGGTCGTTATCAGTAGAACAAGGTGGATCAAAAGCAGCAGAAAAATTGCTAGCTGTGCTCTCATTAAGAAAACGAGAACTAACCATACGGCGAGCAGGAGGTGGGGACGCAGAAACTGACAAGTTAAAGAAAATGCAATGATGATCTGAAATATAAACATCCTCAGGACAAACACTGTCAGCATTTAGACTCAGGGTAAAAACAAGGTCTAGAGTGTGCCCCCTGGTGTGTGTGGGGCCAGAAACACGCTGGGTAAAGCCGAAGAAGTCCATAAGGCTGGAGAAATTCATGGCAAAGTGATCAGAGGGATCATGAACGTGGATGTTAAAGTCACCCACAATCACCAGTCTGGACAGATTCACAGTGGAGGATAGAAAGTCACTAAACTCCTGAAGGAAAGAACTGTTTGGACCAGGTGGACGATAGACCACAGCACAGTAGAACGGGTCCTTACGCCCGACTTTAATCAGCTGCAGTTCAAAGGAAGCAAAGTGACCAGAGGTTGTAGAGCTACATGGAAGATGGTCTCTGAAAACAACAGCTAGGCCTCCACCACGACCAGAACCCCGGGGCTGGCTAAGAAAAGAATAACCACTCGGGCAGAGTTCAATCAGACCAGAATAATCAGATGTTTGCTGCCGAACTTCAGTCAGAAACAGAAAATCCAGGTTTTTAGAGAGAATTAGATCACTGAGCAGGAAGGTCTTATTGTTAACAGAGCGAGTATTTAATAGAGCCATGCTGAGTGAGGTGGAGGAATCAGAAACTACAGAAACAGCTGGAGTTTATTCAATTCCATGAATAAAGGACAATTATAACAAACATCACCATAATTTTTGCTGTACATAGGATAGTCCATCACTACCCCTTTTATCAATTATATCTGTCAATTTCACTGTGTACAATGTGAAAATCTAAAGTAAACTCATTAATTTTCCTTCTTGTTAAACATTGAAAAGAAAATCTATTTTCCAGGATCCATGGACGTACGACAGATAATGGAATGGTCGGACTAATAAGTTGACTCTCAGTTTTCCTGCTCACTGTTCCACTGACCATTCAAAACTTTTTACTCCCTCATGTTGGTTAGGGTTAGGTTTCATGATCATCCAACACACCAGCATTATTTTATTATTTTAGGATGTCATGAACTGGATGAGATTTATTATGACCCAGTAAACCTGCCCCGTAAGTTACTAGCAACTGTATTTTATTCAGTTCCAATAGCATTTTTCCAATTTTTTCTTGCAAAGCCGTCACAAAAGTCATCCTAAATGCTACTGTACAAGGACGCAATGTCTGGAATTTAAAGCAGTCTAGGTTTTTAAAATCCATGTCCTCTGCTGATCCAAATACTACACCCAAAGTCTAGTACCAACCTTATTCATTTATTATTTAATAAAAACCTAAAAGTGATTCTGGCTGCACAACATCCACAACTTGTTTATACACACCACATTATACAGTTCTGATCAAAAATAAAAAACCTCTTAAAAAGTGGCCAAAAATTATAATTTGCATGGTTTAATTTTAACAAGGCTCTAAGTAGAGCACCAACATGCAACAAGAAGAAATGAGAGTGAGACCAAACATTTTCTGAGCAGCTGTTTATTAAAACGCTTAAACTAAAACTGCCTGTTTTAGATTGGTGGTGCTCACTCCTCACCCCTGCCACATGGACCTCAAAGGATAAACCATCAACCCTGCTCAATGGTCAACTTTCCTCGCGGGGTCACCCATTAGGACAGTGGGGGGGGGTTAAATTGGTTCAGGGTAGTTCGGAATGCCTGATGAAATCCTCACAAATACACCCACATCACTCAACTACTCTCACAGCTTCACTGGCTGCTTCTTATTTACAGAGTTCATTTGTAGATCCTGATTTGGGGTTTTTAACCTTATTAATACGTGGTGGTCGGAGGGGCCGGTGGCGCTAGTGCTTAGCAGCCTCGCCTCTGTCAGTGCGCCCCAGGGTAGCTGTGGCTACATCGTAGCTCATCCTCACCAGCGTGTGAATGACGGATTGTGTTGTAAAGCACCTTGGGGGTTTCAGGACTCTAGAAGGCGCTATATCAAATACAGACCATTTATCATTTAATACCCACCTTTATTCAAGATCATATTTTAATGATTAAATACAGGATGTTAATCCCATAATGACAAAGTTGTATTGTGTAGTGGCATTTACAATTAAAAGAAATCTCCAAAGTGTGGTATACATACCATCAGTGGTGCATGAGCTCCCTCTAGTGGTCAATTCATTCATTTTCTTAACCACTTCATTCAGGTAAGCTTGTAGGACACTACCAATGCACTTTTTCACCTTTTGAGCTGTGATGACTTGAACTAAATGAAGTCAGCCAGAGACGGATTTGATGCTGTCATTGTTTTTACAACTACAGATTGGCTGAAATGCCAAATAGATGTTAGATTATTTGCTAAAAGCTAACATATTCTAACAGATGGAATGTTCTATTCCATTGTGTTCAGGACATGTTTAGGTGTTGCGATGTGATGCACTTCGATGCAACTGATCCTCTACTGACTTCTGACGCTGTCCTCCAGTTGGTTTTCATAACAACAATGGCATAGGTATGTGTAAATTGGAACCACACCGGGAGAGAGTGGCACAAGTCCAGCATTTCGTTTCCTTTTGGTCGTGCGAACACAGCCACTGAAACCTGTTAAGCTCAATAAAGTCACAAGAACTGGAACAGTGGACTCATTTGTTCGTTACTTGAACCTTACAATAATGTATACAACTTAATCTTTCCCATATCGCTGTACAAGATGATCAGTGACTTAGCTATGTACAGTGGACACAAATGTAAATGGTCTGCACTTGCATAGTACTCTTCTATGTTAGAGGACTCCAAAGCACTTTCCACGATGGTCAGTCATTCACTCATTCACATATATTCACACACTGATGACGATAAGCTACAATGTAGTCACAGCTGCCCTGTGGTGCAATGACAACAAGGCTGCCATACAATCAGCGCCAGCAGTCCCTCCGACCAATACTAGCAGGTAAAGTGGGCAAAGTTTGTTGCCCAAGGACACAACTATGCGGGTTCAAACTGGCAACCCTTTGTACCACAAAGTTCTGTTCTCTGAAAACAAGCAATCCTGTTGATTATGTTTCTTTAGAGCCTGTGTCAGGCACAAACATGGCTGAAGCTTTGAAACACTAGATTGAAATTCTGCCTTTTCAGCAAATAATTCACCTACTGAATAGTCCACAGCAGATAAATAACCTACACTTTGCTATTAGAATTACAAAGACATTCTGACAGCTGCCTATTTAAACAGAAATATCACTCTTATTTATGGGTTACAAGCAGCCAGCTCAGAGGGACTGAACTCCCACTGAGTAACCAAAGTGGTTTTCAGAAGTTTCTGTCAAGTCTTAAAAGTCAAAGTTAATCTGGGTGGTTCATTGAAGTGAACACAAATGAACCTATACATGTTGGAAGAGGGTACTCACTGTGGGGTTGGATGATGTCATGGCTTGAGAGAGACATGACACAGTTTTAAAACGGCAGCAGGAACTTGGATCTGTGTGGCCTTTTCTGTAGATTATATATGGACATAGATATTTAATGGAGGTTTGGGTTTAAGGAAAATCAATCAATGTCCTAAACGTCTTAATCTATGCAGTAGGTTGGGAAACTGGTGACATCTGTAAAGTTTAAATGATCTGAAGGTGAACCAACTTTACAATCAAATTTGAATACTATCATGGTTTGTGGTCAGGTGTGCAGGCAGCTCACTCAAAATAATCTTACGCTTAATCTGAAATTCAATCTGTAGCATTTAGGAGCTTCATTCTCTTAAGGTGCATAGGCAGAAAGTAGGGCTGCACAATATATCGTAAATATATCATTATCGCGATATCAGCATGCACAATATGCATATCGCAATGAATGGTCAGCTCAAATGTTTGCTGCACATGATGCATTCTGTCAGTTAAACGGAAGTATTATGTTTTTTTTAACAAATCAAATAGAGCTCTTCACCCATTTGGCCAATCGGGTGGGTTCTCATAAGATAAATGCCCGTTGTTGAGGCGGACGGCACTTAATTTTGATGGTTAGCAAACGCCTGAGTTAGCTTTGTTCTGCTCTTTCTGCTGATTCTGCTTTTCCTGGGATCCGCTGATTGCCTTTTCTTGTTTATTTTCTTTTTCCCTTTCCTCGCATCTTTTGCTTTTCTCATTTTAATGATTTTTTAAATTTCCTTGTTTTTGATTATTTTTGTTCCTGAGTTAAGTTTTTATTTATCGCAAGTAATATCGTCATCGCAATATTAATCATTGTTATCGCATATCCCAGGTTTTCCTTATATTGTGCAGCCCTAGCAGAAAGGTTGGTTAGATTGAACAACACGCTTCCTTTGTATAGTTTCATGTTCTGTTAGCTGTTCTTGTTTCTTTACATAATGACTAAACATAACACAATTGTTATGACATAGTAACTAGAATTCACCATTGTTAGCAAAGTAACACATTTGATCAAAACAGTTTTAACTCCATAATTTCTTCATTTTCTAATAGATTAAAAGTAGCATAAAGCATGGAATAATTAAAATTTCACCCCTTCAATAATGCTAGGTCTTTAATTATGTTATGCCTTTGTATAGATGAGCAAAGTTTGTTTCAAGAGCACCTGTCAGATTAAAAAATCAAATTCTTCAGAATGGCAGCATCGAAATTAAAACATGATAACTACAATAATACAGTAAATATAAACAGATGAAAAACACATAATCTTAGGTAAAAGTAAGTCTGAGCAAGAAAGTCTTCAGCTGTTTTTTAAAAAAGGAGTCCAGACTGAATTTACAAGTTCAATCTACAGTCGATGAGCAACAAACTGGAAAGAATGACTTGTAGAGCCAAATTCTAGATATAATAAATAAAATACCTTCCATAGGCTTACCATTAACTCGTTCAATACACGTTAATTAAGACTAAGAATATAAACAATCGATTTACGTTTGCAATGTTTTGATCAGGCAATGACGCAGCCACCTACTCCATTTAAAAAGTCAATGTAGTTATTCGTGTTTGTCAAAATAAACGCGTTTAATATTATAGAAGCCACACCAGCACGTTCCTTTGGCCCATTAAAAGGTAGAAACATTTTCGGGTTGTGACGCCTCGATGTTTTTATCAGTTAGCAAGCTAAGCTACAAAACAAGCAAGAGCTAGGATGTTAATAACAAGCTAGATCCATTAGCGACCTGAAAACCTGGACTACACACTTAATCACACACAACAGAGGAAATCCAAGCGTGCAGACCTAATCGGTGAAGTTGAATTCTGAGGTTGAAAACAAAGCGACTGTTTAATAGCCAGTCTCCCCTTCGAAAAATAAGGCAAATTTATGTGTGAAGCGAGTCATATTCATTGGACTTCAATTCCCAGCAGTCTTTTTGCCGCGCAATTTCCGCGTGTGAGTTGTCCGGCCACGTGACAGTATTGAGCCCCGTCCCCCGTATAGTGAGATTTCCAGCCGTCCGCTGAGGCAGCGGCTGCCTTGGAATCGAAACTTAGCTGGAGACAGTAGAGCTTGGGCATCTCTCACGAAATCTCCGTTGCTGCTGGACTTTTTGTAGTTTTCCCCCCCGCGTCGGTTCCACTTTTCATCCGCAAAAACTGTCCGTCTTCTGTATTCTACCACCAAAGTTCAATGAACTTTCTCACTTCATCGGGTAGGTGTGCCTCGCCAAAGTTAGCTCTGTCGCACCACAACAGTCTGGTTAGCATGCACGCTGGGACTTTGTTATAGTTTTGCTACGTGAAAAATGTAAGGCCCAGTTCCAGAGCAGACCAGTTCTGCAGCTATCAACATCTGTTCTGCTTGTTTGCAACCCTTCCAGTAAATAATCATGGACTCTGTACGAGAAAACCGAAAAGAAAATATAAGAGCGGCTCTGTCATTTATACAGTAAGATTCCTTTTCCTGTTGACTCTGACTGAAAGTGAAACTAGCCTTGAATTACGAACATTCGTTCAAGAAATACAGTGCTCTAATAAACAAGTTACTGTCTTGTGTTTTAGGTCTCCATTGGCTTTTCCAGATCCTGACGGCTATCAGGTAGTTGCTTTCTAATTAAATTTGGATAAAATGGTAAATGGCTTGTATTTGTGTTGCTCCTTGTAGCCACAGCTGCCCTGTGGCACACTGATGGAAGTGTCACACTAGTGCCACCAGTTAATTTACTGACTTAAAGAGCAAGTCACCCCCAAATCAACTTTTTTCCTGATTAACTATAAATGCGTGTCTAATCGTGCTGCAGACACGTGTAGTCAAATAGTTTTGCACTGTAGTGCATTTTAGTTAAAATTTTTATTTTCTGCCTAAAACTGTCAGTGTTGTGCTGTTGTTGGGTAAAAACTGCACTGCATTAGAATTTAAATCAGCCATCGCTATTGGCTAAGAGGTACCCTAGAACATTAGCTGGTACCATGTGATGTCACAATGTCATTGTGAGCCTGTGTGTGTGTGTGTATTGACCCTTAGCACCGACGTCACCTAATCACGTGGGTCCACCATGGTGGACGGCAAAAGCATGTAAACAGTGAGCGACACGAGTACTAAACAAAGGGAAAAGTAGAGCCTGAAATTATTTTTGCGATCAAAACAAAAACAAAACTCCAGCATTCCTTCAACTAGTTCATGCCCATTTCAGTTATCAGAAGAAGGGGTTTCATAGAGCAGTATGTTAACTAGCTTACCAACGTTAGCTTACGTTCTCTCTGCAGCTGTTCACCGATGTAAAGATGTTGCTGACTTTGCCTAAATTCACCCCTCTTGATTTATAACTTTATGTTATAAACAGCGTTTCACTTTACACCAAAGCTGATTTTTAAAAAGTCCGGATCCCTACCAGCTTCTGTTGCTGGTGGTGTTACCGGGTTCAGCTGCTGCTCTCTCACCGGAATGAGAAGATCTCTGAACGCCGACGCTCATATAAATAAATAATGTAATTTTAACACATGTAATCATACATCAGAGCTTTAATATTGTTAATAATTGTCTCACTTTACACCACAGTGGACGGAGCGCAGCCTCCGTGGTGAAATACCCATCCATCAGGATTATCAATAACTAGTATAAACACATCACATTTATCCCTGTCCCTGTCTTCCTCGTGAAATAAAATAACGTTAATCTTACCCGGTAAAAACATGTTCGCTGCAAATCTGAGGCCTGCTAGTCCGCTTGATTGATGGCTGCAGTTCATCTCCGTCCTCAGTCTCCATCACAGTTATTAAAAAGAAAAAACTAGTTAGTTTACATCCTTGTCTCTTGGTGCAGCCAACCAAGCAGCAAGCTAAAACCGTTTTTCTGTCAAATCAACTAAATAAAAGCGATGAAAGGCTACAAACTGGCTTGTTTTGACTACCTTCACTGGAATTTCTACGGGTGTAAACAGTCTTTTTCCGTCCATCATGGCGAAGGGGGCGGTCACATGAGTGGCATGACGTCTCGTGCAAAGGGTCAATTTGTTAGCGGCTCCGCCTTCTCAGTCTGCTAGGCGACAGCATTTGCTGCATTTTTCAAACAGGAAGTGGGAGTTGAGTAAGAATCTGGTAGGGATGACTTGCTCTAAATTAGGTGGCTGCCCCTTTCATGTCTAATAACATAATAAATGTGGCCAGATGCAAACAGAAGTTAAGTTTAATTTACATTTACTTTGGGAAAAAACATGAGGAAAAAGTGAAAATCATAATTTAGTTCCTGCAGAAGTAACACCATCTATAGCATCTGAAACCTACCTAACATTTCAGTCTTTAAGGTTTTTACCAGCAAGATCGCTCATCTGTCACTGCTGTTGTTTTTCTGATGTTTTTATTGGTTAGAGGTAGGGCTGCTCGATTATGGCAAAAATAATAATCACGATTATGGTGACTGAAATTGAGATCTCGATTATTTAGGACGATTTTTCAATTAATGTTGATTTTATTTGTTTTTATTCAGTCATAAAATTGCTCAGGGCACAATCAGGACAAAAAGAAATAAGAAACAAGATGATCACTAAAATAACTCCTGATTCCCAGTATAAAAAGACCAATATACTTATAGCTCATAGTTTATGACCCAAGGGCTTTAGACCTTGGTTTAACTAATTTAAGTCTAACCAGTACAGACCCAAATACCAATATCTTGCAAATACTGACAGCAAGAATTATACAGTGGCATTTATAACAAATAAATTGATGTTCACAAATGTTGCATAACATTTATTGAGTCGTGTCAAGGTGCTGTAGGAGCGTGCACTAGCACCGTGTCCTCAGAGAGATTAGTTATTATTTATCAGCGTGAGGAACTTATTTCTACCTTATTTATAAACTATTTATTTACAAGTCCATCAGTTAATGTAATGATTGTCCCAACCACAGCTGCACCCCCCACCCCGGTCTCACAGCAATCGGGGCAAGCTGCACGCGTGTTTAGCACGCCGCACGCGCACATTTAGCCGTTTTTAGTGGCTCAGGAGTCCGCAGGTGCGGTGTGTGTGTCACTCACTCTGGTTAATCCAACAGGGAGCCGGCTCCGAGAGCTGTTTCTTTAGCGACTGACACATCACTACATCATTCCCTTTCCTAATGTCCTGAAGAACGGACCGGAGCGCAGGCGGAGTGTTTAGCTAACCTGCAGGAAATTTCGACGACAGTAATCCAGAAAGTAGCTAAGGGTTACCAGAGATGTTTCTGAGGTGTTCGCTAGGTACTTTTAAGTTAAAAAGTCAAGAAGGGGGTCTGAAAAGCTGCTAGAAATAGCGTCAAAGTCACTAAGTTGGCAACACTGTGGGAGGAGCGCTTCATTTGCAACTCAGGGCAGCGCAAGCGGGAGGAGCAAATAATCGGCTTGTTTTGTTTTTTATAATCGTTCAAAACTCAGATCGTAATCGTGATTAAAATTCGATTAATTGAGCAGCCCTATTTGACATACATATTTAAGTTTGTAGAACAAGCGTGTGATAATAGACTTACTGCTGGAAACTGCTGGCTTTTTGATTCCTGCCTCCCGTGAGCCTGCAGGCTGCTGTGAAGCTGTGAGCGAGGCAGAGCTGGCAGCCCCGCCCGTTGGAAACGGCGCGTGAGGACCGACCGTACCAACTTGAGGAATTGGGGGGGGTGGACTATAATTTCTCAACAATTAAAAACACATTGTTTTGTATTTGCAGACTAACTTACATTGTGGTTTTAGAAGAAAATACAGGTTTACTGATAGCATTTATGTGTTTACAATAACTTTTGTGTGGGGGACAACTTTGTGTGAGGGGGGGATGTGTCCCCCCCCGTCCCCCCTGGGATCTCCACCTATGATCTGGACAGCCACCTAGAGAATCATAACACGGAGCTCAGCTGTCATTGTTGTGAGTTGATTTGGATGAAGAGGTGTATGCATACCTGTTGATGTCATGATCCTGGTTGTATGTTTTTCCCATCATATAGGACTTTCTGACCAGCTTAGTGTGCAACCTGCTCGATGAGGGCAATGCCTTCTTTCGAGAAAAAGAGTGGGAGCAGGCCGTTGGAGAATACACTGAGGGCCTTAAAGTCTCATGCTACGCTGAAGGTGAGGAGATCCAGATCCCGAAAGCTTTGCTGGAGAGCCTGTATGTGAACCGAGCTGCTGCCTACCACAGCATGGTGAGATTATCTCCTGTTTTCTCATCCAGCTGGAAAAACAAAATAAAGTAGATTAATCTGTGATAACTACAGACTAGAATGACTTTCAAGCTGCTTCATGACATCAGTGTGCTGTCAGCTACCTTTATAAATGTCAGGGCAGGTACTCCTGTAGTCTGAGCTGTGGTTTTATCTACAATGCTTCATGCAAAGGCAGTTTGTTGGTACTCCACTCTGCTCTAGGGTTGTCACGGTAACCAGTGTAGCGGTAAACCCCGGTAAAAAAGTTGACAATAATAATAACAGTCTTGTTTTAAAAAAAATATTATCTCGGTGGATTACCGTGGCTGCGGTGTAGGCGCGGTGACCCTTACCAGCCACCGTATCATCTGCTGAAGTTGCCGGCGGCACATGCGCACTTTGTTGTTTACAACCAAAACGTTCTTGAAGCTAAAGCTGAAATAATGGCCAAAGGAGGAGACAGCAGCGCTCAGGACGTTTATTATCCCTCAAAGAAGACAAAGTGGGAAGTACGGGCATTTTTTGGATATCAGAAGAGTGCCGAGGGACCGTTTATAGAAGACGGCTATCCTGTTTGCAGCACGTGCAGAACAAGTGTCTGTGAAAGGCAGCAATGCTTCAAATCTCATGACACATCTGCGTGACCATCACCCACAACTCTACAGTCAACACAAGGCAAGCTAACGTTAGCGTTTTAGCTCAAATGCGTGATCCGAGGATTTGGGCTGAGGGAGAATGCAACGAGTCGCTATATAAAGCAGCCGCAGCGCCGCTACCTGCATATAAACCGTGTCGCGGACACCCCCATGTTGAAATGACGCTATGCATTACGGGGCTCCCAGGGGCAGATAAGAGTTGGTCTCTCTCAGAGAATAATTAGGAATTTAACAATGATTACTGCCTGATGACATTTTCCCACATCTGCAAAGCTCACTGGAAGGACACAAACCGAGGACAATATTTTCCTGATATAGGGTTTATTACTCAAGTAAGGGTAAAAAAGTATCTGATTAGAAGGCTACTTGAGTACTGAGTATCAACTGATCTAATATTTTTAAAATGATGACATCAAACAGAACAAAATATGAAGTTATGGGCAAATATTGGTATTTTAAAGACTTAAGGGGAAAAATGTAAACAAATAAACAACATAATTACAAAATAACACATTTTAGGCAAAATTTAGACACAAACTGAGGACAATATTTTCCTGATATACAGGGTTTATTTAGTTGTGTGAAAATGTAACACGTTTTAAAAAAATACCGCGATAATACCGAAAACCGTGATAATTTTGGTGACAATAACCGTGAGGTTACATTTTCACACCATGACAACCCTACTCTGCTCAAGACCAGTATTCCTTAATGTTTAAAGAGCAAATCACCCACAAATCAACATTTTTTCCTGAAAAACTATAAAAATGCGTGTCTAATCGTGCTGCTGACACATGTAGTCAATAGTTTTGTACTTAAGTGCATTTTAGTTAGGATTTTAATTTTATGCCTAAAGCTGTCAATGTGCCGTTGTCAGGTAAAACCTTTGCACTACATTCAAATTTAAATCTGCCATCGCTATTGGCTAAGAGGTGCCCTAGAACGTTAGCTGGTACCATATGATGTCACAATGTCATTGTGAGCCTGTGTGTGTGTGTATTTGTTAGCGGCTCCACCTTCGGTCTGCTAGGCAACAGCTTTTGTTGCATTTTTCCAAACAGGAAGTGGGAGTGGAGTAATACTCTGGTAGGGGGTGACTTGCTCTTTAAACAAAGTACTGCAGATGTTCATGGCTTCTTGAAAAGAGTTCAATGATGTGTGTTATCTTAGACCAGGGGTCAGCAACCTGCTCCAGAGCCACAAATTGGCGAAAATGATTAAAAAAAAACTAACTAATTTTTTTAATTTTTACTTTGTTCTGTGAAACTACAAAGCACATTGAATGGGGTTTTGTCCACTGAATTGCCATGGCGAATTTAGAAAAATCAGTTTTAAAGCAGTACGAACGTTTCTTATTTTCTTTTTCTTCTATTTCTATGGTTTTTCAGTGTTCTACGTCTTTAATCTTGATTTAAAGAGCAAGTCACCCCCTACCAGAGTCTAACTCCACTCCCACTTCATGTTTGAAAAATGCAACACATGCTGTTGCCTGGCAGACCGAGAAGGCGGAGCTGCTAACAAATACACACACACACAGGCTCACCACAGCATTGTGACATCATAATGTACCGGTTTACATCATAGCATACCTCTTAGCCAATAGCGGTGGCAGATTTAAATTCAAATACAGTGCAGAGTTTTTACCTGACAACGGCACAACACTGACAGTTTTAGGCAGAATATTTAAATTTTAACTAAGATGCACTGAAGTGCCAAATTATTGACGACACGTGTCTGCAGCACGATTAGACACTCGTTTATTTAGTTTATCAGCAAAAAAAAAGTTTATTTGGGGTGACTTGCTCTTTAATCATTATTATTTGCAATTTAGTTGCAGAATATAAATGTGTATTTTAAATTTGTAATGTTTCTAAGTAGGGTAGACCGATGTGGTTTTTCTATATGTGCTGCTGATTTTCACAGCCAATAGCCAGACATTTCCCACCTCATCTGCATGCTAAAATATCACTGTTAACAACAATAATTGCACAACATTTCTGAACCAGAATCGGTTTTCCAGCACTGGCTGTTGTTGCAACAACAGCAACAACAACAAATATTATCCAGAATGTTCTACAGATAATTTCCTCTGTAGCTTCTGTTTACACATCCCCAAGCTTGCTTGAGCCTTTTGAATCAAAAGTCTCATAAAAAACTATGCGTACAAACGTAGAACAAGGCATAAATAGTGTTTTGTTTATTTAATTGTTTAAGTTCAAGAGATGTTTATCTCTTATTCTTTTTATCCTCAACAGCTGTTTCAACAAGAGTTTTTAGACTCAAATCTAATGTTTACCCTTTGATGATGTTTGTTTTTTCCTGAAATATTTCATGTGTAAATTTTCCTACGTGGACATTAATTTTATATTAGTAGTTCTCCTTAATTAAATAATTTTTTTTGCTCTTTATCCTAATTTAAAAAGGGAAAGTATGACGAAGGTGTGGAGGACTGTAACAACGCTCTGGTGGTGTGTAAGGAGAGCCGCAGAGCTCTGTACAGGAAGGCTCTGTGTCTGAAGGAGCTCAGCAGGTACATGGAGGCGTACGACTGCACCTCCGTCTGTCTGCTCAGTAACCCTCAGGTAAAAGAACAACACGGCTTTGAACTCGTTACGCTAACAGGTGCTGAAAAAGACGGCAAAATATTAATCTGTTGGGATTTTCCTTTCAACTCAACAGGATAAGCAGGTGAATGAACTTGAGCGGGACTTAGCCGTCCAACTGAAGATGAAGATTCGAAAACCCTACGTCAGCTCAAAGGTGAGGACACTTTTCTGTCGCAATACGCTTTTACATCGTGGAAGATAAATAAATGACACTTTCTGTGGGTTACCGTACATTTGTCTGGTAGCACAACTCGTATTTGTGGAAAGTCGATGGGAACTTCCTCCTTTCTGGATCCAGCCCCTAGTGGATGAGGGGGGGAACTGCGTTGGCTTCATTTTTGGGAGGCGGAGTTTGGTCACAATTCATATTTTCTGTTTGGTGAATCAAAGCTAGAACCATTAATATTTAAAATAATTATTTCACCCACTTTGTCGCAGGTGAACTAAATGAGATTGGATCCTGGGGTTATAAAACTTTTTATGTTGTAGACTGAATATAAAATTAGACGTTTTACAATATTTATCTCCTCTTGTAATAAAAATGCATTAGAGGGATCTTTACTAGATTCTAAAATTAGATGCATATTACATTAGATAAACAGTAACACATAAATAACACGTGTTATAACTATTCAGTAAACAAATGCTGGGGAGTTGCACCCTGGCTGTTTCTGTATGGATAAAGAGAAATGTGAGCACCTCTATTAAAAACGTTTTTACGGTCTGGAGCATACTGGTGTGTGTTAACGACAGACACCAGCCACGACTTCAACTAATGCTTCTCATCAACCTCAGGAAAGGTTAAAGGTCATCCCAAACAACTTGGAAGTTCATCATTCTACAGATGTGATTGGACCTTAGAAGTTGTGTTAATAATCTAAAGTCTGGAATGTTTAATTTATTTTTATTTTTTCAGGTCGCTCTCTTTCCTTTAGGGAATGGTCCAAGTGTTGTTGCACCAGGTGAGATTTTAGTTTTGTTTTCTAACTTCTTGCTGTCGAATGTCTTCAGAATTAAGAAATTATATAAAATCACTAAAAGAAGAAATTCCAACCTTCTCCACAGACAGCTCCCACAGTGTTCCCTCCACACCTCCCAGCTCCAGCCAACCTGCTGCTTCTGTGGTTCCTGACAGGGTGGAGGACTCGGAGCTGATGGGAGACGACTTGGACATTCTGCTTGACAGCCTTTCATCGGAGCAGGGACTAACGGGGGTATAATATACATTTGTTTTTTTCTTTGTAGATGGTTAAATGTATTATTTTTGCTGATGATGTATGTGTGATAGGGTCTTATTTCCTGAGAAGTTTACCAAAAGCTTCTAAACAGACCTTTTTGTACTTGAGTCATTTGATCCATTGTTTTTATAAAATAACAACTAGTCCACCTTAAATTGCTGTTTGTCATGAATATTATTTTCCTGCAGCTGTAGATCATTTCAGCCGTGGTAACTGAAGCTTGTTTTGCTACTTTTCCTCCACGTTTAGGCAGAATTCTCAGACCAGACAGACAACAGGATGCCCACCTCCTCTCACACTGTCCCTCCCATCCTACCTGCCCCGACTCCACAGCTGCCCCCGGCCTTTTTCAGTTCACCCATCAGCCAGCTCAACTGCTTGGACTCCTTTTTGACAGCTGACAGCGGGCCTGCTGCTACAACTTTGAATGTGTTGGATGACCTCTTCACCTCAGGAGCTGAAACGGCTTCAGATGCTCCAAACTTTGTGTCCGCCTCTATGACCTTGGATGCCCTTGACTCGCTGGACTCCTTTGATGATTTTTTGGATGTGACCCCCAGTGCTGTTGCTGCTAAGGAGCCTGAGACGGAGCAGGATTTAGGAGTAAAACCTCTTGACCTACTGGATGAAGTAGACTCGATCAGAGCGGTCTCTGATACAAACGATCACGGTGGTGACGTAAAAGTTAAGATGAAAGCCACAAAAAGGCTGGACTGTCTAGATTCTCTAGACTCTTTCTCCACGATGGAAGACAACAGAGCTGCTGCTGTTTCAATCAGGGGAGCAGGCCCAGACTTGCGCTCTGATTTCAGCTCAAGTGGTACTATTGATATTTGGTATTTTTAAAATTTAAAGAGAAGGTTCGCAGAGAAACTATTACTTATCTTTTGTTTTAGAGAAACGATCAGTCAGTTTAGCATGCAGGCTGAACGTGAAAATAGTCCTCTACCTCATTTTCCTTCATTAGTCGCTGATAGAAAATAGACATGGAAACGCTCGGATTAGAAAAGCCTGAAGGATCTACGTCACCACTGAAAACAAGCATTCATGGAATCGCCCGTCTGGGAGAGCTTCTGTTCATTTAACATCCAGGAGAGAGCAGAGCATGCCTCGGCTAGTAGAGGCTAACGGTTAGCATTAGCAACTCCACAACATGGCAGAGCTACTTCAGGCTTGTGTTATTAGTGGAGATAACAAAATCAACTTTGCAAATCAAACAGAGTCAGTGGAAGAGTCACGTTGCTGTTAGCCAATCAGAGGCGAGATGTCCAAATATCAGGACGTAAGACTCCAAATCCTACAACCCCCAGGGTGCTTCACAACACATCATTCACCCATTCACACGCTGGTGCAGTTATGAGTTATGATGTAGCCACAGCTGCCCTGGGATGCACTAAAATAGGCTAGGCCTGCCGAACGCTGTCGCCACCGGTCCCTCCGACCACCACCAGCAGGCAAGGCGGGTAAAGTGTCTTGCCCAAGGACACAACAGCATTCTCGTCAGAGCCGGAATCGAACCTGCAACCTTCTGATTACTGGAAAACCCGCTTTGCCCCCTAAGCTAGTGGTGTTTATACCACAGCAAATGCATTAAAATATGAGTGAACTTGATCTTCAACTCAATCAGCGCCAGCAGTTATCTGAACAGAAAGCCTGATTGCCAGCATTTTTCAGCATTTAACTGTTTTTTGAAGAGTCACAGAATATTTTGCAATATGATCACGACAACGTCAAAACTACCAAAAGAAAGATCAGACTTACTTCTTACAGAAAGAAAAATCAGCTTGTTATTTTTTATTTTTATTTTTTTGCTTTTTCCGTTCTTTCACATTCTGTAGTCGAAGTGTGAGCTGAAGAAGCTTTTCTGGTTAGTGCCTCCCTTTAGGCAAAGTGGCCCCCCAAACCGATCTCCTGATACATGGATTGTCTGCTTTCATGATCACGTGACATGTGACACACATGGATGACAATCGACTTTAGAGCAGTGATGTTTACTCTCAAGTTGAGCGAGCTTGTTCCCAAACCTGCCCTGTAAAAAAAAACGCAATTGACGACTTTAGTAAGTACATTTTTATTTATATAGCACTTGTCACTGACATAGAATCACAAAGTCCTTCCCATCAATCAAAACAAAATACAAAATTATGATCTGAAAACAGAAATAGATTAACATCAGAAAAAAATCTCATAAAACAAATGAAAGATGATTAAAAATTTGAGTTAAAAATAAGAAAACAAAAGATTTAGGTAAAAGCTGACGACTTTAGTTATCAATTGCAGTGAAAGAGTTGACGTAACAAATATTAACAGAATCCAGATTGTTAACTCATTCGCTGCCAGCGTTTCTCACCGTTTTTACTGTTTTTCTAAGAGTCACAGAACGTTGCGCGCCAGGATGATGTCGACGCCAAAACAAGCAAAAACAAAGCGGAGACTCACCTCTAACAACAGGAAGAATCTGCGTGTTTCGAGCGTTATCCACTCTTTCATAATCCGTTGTCGAATTGTGATCGGCAGAAGCTTTTCCGGTTCGCGCCTCACTTCTTTTTTTACAGCAGCGGCCCAAAACGATCTCCTAACACATGGATTTTCTGCTTCCTGATCACGTGACGTGTGACGTATGCGGATGAAGATCGGCTTTAGAGCTGAGACGTTTGTTCTCGGTGCGGGGACTCGTTCCGGCGCCCACACAGTAAAAAAATGCAAATGACGACCTTAGACATCATTGGCAGTGAATGAGTTAATAGGCTTTTATGAATAGTGTTTTTTCATTTATTTTCTATCAGTGGCCAATGGAGGTGTTAAGTTTAGAAGACTAAACTTCACATTTAACCTGCTTGTTTAACTGAGTGGTCCTTTTCAAAAATATGAAGTAAAAAATGGTTTCTCAGTGAACTTGCTCTTTAATAATCTGTTCTGAATCCTCAGGTTTTGCAGACTCTTACAGCGCTGCTGCTGCTGCTGTAACACAATCCCCCAAAAACCAGTACAAAGTAGGACTGGTCACATGACAAGTTTGATACCATTTAATTCTATTCTGTTTCTTTTGAAAGATTTCATGTAAATCTGATTTTCTCTGTGAAAATGTAGGTGGGTAATAACCATGGAAGTGTGGTCTTTAACCCTTTGTCTTCCACGCACGAGTTCCTGCAGGCCTGCTCCCTCTGTTACCCACGAGAAGGTACGAAACTATTTCGATTTTTTTGTTTAAACAGTCATTTTTTAAAACTTATTTTTATTCAACTGTTTTTTGTTATTTTAACGGGACAGTGTTTATTTTTCCTGGCGATAGGGGGCAGTAGATACCTAAGTCATTGCAAGCAGCTAGTATTTTTGTGTTGGAGTAAGACCTTACCAGCGGATGCCCATTAGGGTCAAAAAGCCCTGGGGAGTGCAAACTTTAGCAAAAGGACAAACACATCAGATTCCCTTTCATCACTGGCAGCAAGTGAAAAGATTAATGTGAAAAACTACAATGTTTATGAATGATGAAGGTTTTGTAACCGTTTATTACAAAACAGTAAATGCATTTAGTCCTCATGGGCTACCGTAGAAAGAATCATAGCATCTAATATGGTGTCGCCCAGAGTCCCGCTCCCATGTATTTTAGACTGGATTTTTGGGTTATATGTTATGAAGCGGCCAATATTGCATCATTGAATTCATTTTTAACAAAATTTTGATGGATATTTCCAGACATTAACAGTAAAAACGACACAGTCTCTTTAAAACATATTCTGTGTTTGTGCGTGATTCCATGTTTAGGTCCAGGGATTTATAGTTATGTCCACAAGCCAGACCTCGTCCACAACTGCAAGCAGGACATTCTGTTATGTAGGAGGAAGGCTGGTTCTCCTTCAGAGTGGACTCGCGTGCGACCTATTCCTACCAATACATCCTTCTGGGGTCCGTTTGTGCTTTGTAGAGGTGAGAACATCAACAACCTTCTAAAAAACAAAACTTACCGTAAATCCTCTAATACAGGCCCGGGCCTGTATTTTACTCAAGCTCATCAAGCTCCAGGCCTTTATTGGAAGCAGGGCCAGAATTAGAGGCAGGCCTCAATTTCTGTTTGAGCTAAATGAACCACCAGTAGAACGAATAAAAACGGGGTGTGTCTATTTGAACCTATAAAAGACTAGGTTCATTTATTGAAAATGTACAGTTACCATAACGTGGTACAGTTTGCATATAAAACATTAACAATGTAACGGAACGGAATTACTGTTTTTTTCCCCCTTCTTTGCTCAAGACTAGTCTGCATGAGATGGTCTCAAGGTCTCATGTATTCCTTCTAACCTGCTTATTTTCAGCTCAACAGAAGAACGAAGAATGAACTCTTTTCTTTTAATTAATCAAAGAACTCTATTTTAATAAAGCTAATCCATCAAAGTGTTAGTCAATAAATAAGATGTGACCGACCTGTGAAATCAAAATATTAATTACTTTATTATGATCCTATAGAATATAATAAGTAATATGACTTTAAGTGTTCCAACAGGACTCATTTCACGTAGCGTTTAAAAGACATTACACATTACTTTCACTGATCCAATCAGAATCTTACAGATCTGACGGAGGTGTGGTTTCGATGGTGTTTGGTAATTTCTCATTTGACAATAAACCAAAACATCCGAAGTATAAAACTATGCCACGTCATCTCTAACGCCAGTTCAAAGCGTTCCAGAGAAAGTAACGGAGTGGCCAATCCTGAACTATCCTCTTCAACCAAAAAGAACAACGACAAGCTGGAAAATTTGTTGCTATTCCAACAGCGACAACAGTTCCTTTCAGAATAAAAGCTGAACCATCCAGACCCAGGCTTGGGTCTAACCAGACGCCAACAACTTGTCGTGTACCCGGAAGTAACTCAAAGACTGGTCTGATCGGAACCACGGCTTTTCCTACCGGCTCGGTTCCAGAGAGGGTCCACTGGACCTTGATAGTCCTGATCTACAGGGGACTTCCACGAAGGGTTGGTAGACCGACATGATGGTGTCTCATGTGTTTATGGACCTCCTAACCAAAGCTTAATGCGAAGACGACGCCTTCAGTTCCCGTCAGAACAATCGCTTCTTCGGATTTGCTGGTTCTGATTTAACATCACACGTCATCCATCCACCGTCTCATCCATTTTAGTTACACCATACATTTAGTTTTAAAGTCAGTTTAGTTTAATTAGTAATAAAATTCTTAACTTTTAAACTTGACACTCTATTCTGTTGTCTCTGAGTGAATACGGAGCGGTTATCTAATCCCTGCAATAAAAAGATCCAATCTTTTGGTTTAAATAACCCAGTGTCCGTAAGATGGGATTCATACTAGATATGAATCTTTAATGTCTTATGGTCCTTAAATAACACGTAATCTAAATCATTACAACAACAAGGCTAAATTACAGTAGGGAAATACTGTATTGTATCAAAACAATAGCAAACATACCTGTACTGCATTTTAAACGTTATTAAATACCGGTAAGAATCGTTTCATCTTGTTTGGGTTGTAGTAAAAAATAAAATAAAAACCTAAGTCAATTCAATCTTTGTCCAGTTTAAAGTAAAAAAAATAAAATACCGGTAATCCAATTCAGTTTAATCCTCATCCATTTTGATGGGTTGATGTTAAAACGTTTAGCAGCTTGCTCCCCAGAGTGTTCTGCAGCATATATCAACACATTCTCTTTGAACTTGATATCAAATTTTTGGCTCCGCACCTGCCACGGTTAAAGTTACCCTTGCGTCTATCACTGGCTAATCAAAAGTGAGACAGATGACACACCGCCCCCCGTGGTACTTGCCTGTTACCACATTCCACCCGGCCACAATAAAATAAAACCGGCCGTTATTCACCTCCGCCAACTCCGACACCGGCCAAAATGTGACACCCAGCCGTTAACTGAATACAGGCCAATATTAGAGGATTTACGGTACATTTTAGTTGTTCAAACCAGGGCAAAAATTGTATTTTAATTTCAGCCCAAAATGAGCTTTGTTGTCATAAAAGTAGATTAAAACCCATTAAAATGTCTTAAAGGCTGCATACTTTTTGCAAAATCCCAGTTTCTGTTGTAAATCAAAAATACAAGAACATTTCAAAGCTCAGAAAAGGGTGTTTTTGCTAACCTGTTCAGAGCTGATCAATTCTGGGGACCTGGGGGTGTGTAAGTACGGAGAGAAGTGTACATTTGCCTACAACCAGCTGGAGATTGATGTTTGGACCGCGGAGAGGAAGGGGAAGCTGAACAGAAACCTGCTGTTTGAGACGACAGCGAGCAAACTGGATCCCGTGATTAGTGTCATACGTCTCCTAGAGGAGCACAAGGGCATGTTTATTTTCCTCTGTCAGGTTAGTGTGGACTCATGTCTGCTGTTAGTGAAACGTTACAACTACACATTTAGTTTAGAAATCCCAAATACTTAAGTCAACTCAACAGTTTTGTGTGTTTTTTTCTCTATAGGAATGCTACGACAGTAAACCTAGGATCATCAGTAAGCGATTCAGTGAAAATCCGGCTATCTGCTCTAATTTGGACGTTTGTCACAACTTTGACACTAATAAGTAAGTGTGTGTGTGTGTGTGTGTGTGTGTGTGTGTGTGTGTGTGTGTGTGTGTGTGTGTGTGCGCGCGCGCGCGCGCACGCAGGGTCCGAAATTAACACTCACCACTCGCCAAATGCGAGCAAATTGCTCCATTTGGCGAGTAAATTTTTGAGCTCTGTCTGCCACATAGCGAGTAAATGTTTGCACCAAATTAGTTATTTTTATCAGTCATCTTCCATGGATTTCTGTGATACTCTTCCCGCCTGCATGCAACGTACGCGAAACGTGAGCACTGCATCCAACTTCATTTCCGCCTATCTCATTCAATCAGTTTATCAAGTTAGCAGTTAGCTTCGTGTTAAAACTGGCGGTGAAATGTGGCGGTTTTTAACCGGAGTCAGCCAGCCTTCCAAAAGAAAACTCGTCGAACTGGAAGAAAAACCACCAGGACCGGTGGCAACCAGAAGATTTTGTGAAAAGTGGTGAACTAGAGATGGCGGAGTCGTGAGACAATGCCTACATTATGAACCAGAATCTGCGCAAATGGGCTGCACCATTTGCCGCCAGCACGCTC